TTTAGTTTGTATTGGAGTCCTCTTTAAATTGCCCTGATATTGTCCCCAAGTGTTCAGTTAGATTCCTCAGCCAATAGTTCATGTACAGTTGATGAATTCCTTTTAATATTTATCTTATTTGCTGATTGAATAGTTACCAATAGAGATGCCTGCTTTAGCGGCAAACTGGGTGCTGCTTTTGGTTGGTGATTCATTTTCCTTTAGAGAAAAGTTTATGGCTTTTCGTGGGTAGCTCCAGTTCGTAGCAGTGTGCCGTTTTTTGGTCGTTTTAGTAAAGAAAGTGGACCTTTCGCCCTCGCCAGTCTTGGTATAAAGAATGAAATTGAAACTGCAAGTGGGAATGAGAAACATAAACTGAATGAAGGGGTTTCCACCATTGAAGTCCCTAGAAGAAGAGAAATAAAGGTTAATATTAGTGGGATTAAGGGTGTAAGGAAGAAAGAAACAGTTGAAGTAAAGGCATTGGCCCCCTTTGCTGCCAAATCTTTTTCTGAGCTTGGGCTCCCGCCATTATTAGTTGAGAGGTTAGAGAGGGAAGGCAACGAAGTATCCACAGATGTTCAGGCTGCAGCCATTCCCCCAATTCTTAAGAATAACGATGTTGTGAATCAATCCTACACGGGTCCGGGAAAACGTTGGCTTATCTTCTTCCCATACTCTCAGAAGTGCGATCACTTAAGAAGGATGTTTAGAGACAAGATGGACATAGAAGCTGTGATTGTCTTGGACCTGAAGATAAGAGATTGGTGCAACAACTTGGAGAAGATACGCCAAGCTCTTAAAAGGAAGGGGCTCTTAAAAAGAACAAGCCATCCATTATCATTGGACACCTGGGCGGATTGAGGAAATCAGTGCAGGCGGAAAGCTTCATACACAACTGTCAATACTTGGTTCTTATTGAAGCTGCCAGATACGCATCAGCTGGATCAGCTGGAGGACAATCAGCAGCAAGAAGGCCAACGTGGATCAATTACAAAGCAGCAACAGCAGAAGCGTCTAGAAGAGAATTAGTTGGATTGATTTTTGTATAGTTGTATTGAATCAGTTTTGCATTTTGATCTTCATGTAAATTAGTTAGGAAGTTAGTTAGAAAATGATTCCATTTTTCTGTATTTATAGAACCTTCATTGTACATTTTATACATGGTTGAATGAATACATTTTCAGCCTTATCTTAACTGTTCAATATCAGAATATTGTCATTCCAAATCTGATAGTTCTAGATGAAGTGGATAAACTCCTTTAATTTAGTTTTAGGGAGGATATGCATCGTATAATACAGCATGTCGGTAGGAGATCTGGTGCAGGTCTGCCTGAAGCAAATGGTCCTACAACTAGGCGAGCTGATCGTCAGACTCTCATGGTGTCTGCAACGGTGCCATTTTCAGTGATTAGGGCAGCTAGGAGTTGGGGGTGTGATCCACTTCTTGTCCAAGCCAAAAATGTTATTCCACTTGAATCTGTTGCTCCCCGTGCATCTGTTAATCTGTTAGGATCTTCTTCTGATTCCAATCTAGGCACAAATTTACAGACTCAAGCTCCAATGAGCTTACCACCTTCTCTGAAACGCTATTACTCTGTTACGAGGATACAACACGAAGTGGATACACTAATAAAATGTGTATATGCAGCTGACGCCAAATGTGTGATAGCTTTCATGACCACTCCAATCAACTAAAAGATGCTGTATGCAAGTTGAAGGCTCGTGGGATGAAAGCTGCAGAGCTACATGGAGATCTTAGTAAGCTTTCTAGATCAACCATCTTAAAGAAATTCAGTAATGAGGAAGTGAGGGTGTTAGTGACGAATGAACATTCTGCTAGAGGATTGGATATACCAGAATGTGATCTTGTAGTTAATCTGGAATTACCCACTGACTCAATTCATTATGCACATCGAGCCGGCAGAACCGGTCGTCTTGGCAGGAGAGGTATTGTGGTCACCATATGTGAGGAGCCACAAGTGTTACACCTCATCCAATTATAGTTAAAGTCAAGTCAAATAAG